AAATTAACTATTGGGATTGCATCAAATTGAGAAGTTTCTGGACTGCAAAAGAAACAGTCAGGAGAGTGAAGAGACAACCGTCAGAATGGGAAAAAATATTTGCAAACTATGCAACAGATAAAGGGTTAATAACCAGAATCTACAAAGAGATCAAGAAACTCCACAAAAACAAAACCAACAACCCAATTAAGAGATGGGCCAAGGACCTCAATAGACATTTTTCAAAAGAGGAAATCCAAATGGCCAACAGGCACATGAAAAAATGTTCAAGGTCATTAGCAATCAGAGAAATGCAAATCAAAACCACAATGAGGTTCCACCTCACCCCGGTTAGAATGGCTCACATTCAGAAATCTACCAACAACAGATGCTGGCGAGGATGTGGGGAAAAAGGGACACTAACCCACTGTTGGTGGGAATGCAAACTGGTCAAGCCACTATGGAAATCAGTCTGGAGATTCCTCAGAAACCTGAAGATAACCCTACAGTTTGACCCAGCCATCCCACTCCTTGGAATTTACCCAAAGGAATTTAAATTGGCAAACAAAAAAGCGGTCTGCACCCTAATGTTTATTGCAGCACAATTCACAATAGCTAAGACCTGGAACCAACCTAAATGCCCATCAACGGTAGACTGGATAAAGAAATTATGGGATATGTACTCTTTAGAATACTATACTGCAGTAAGAAACAACGAAATCCAGTCATTTGCAACAAAATGGAGGAATCTGGAACACATCATGCTGAGTGAAATAAGCCAGTCCCAAAGGGACAAATACCATATGTTCTCCCTGATCGGTGACAACTGACTGAACACCAAAAAGGAAACTTGTTGAAGTGAAAGGGACACTATGGGAAACGGTGACTTGATCAGCATAGCCCTGACTGTTAATGAACAACTTAATACATTATCCCTCTTAGTAGTTTTTTTGTCTGTTCTACTTAATATGACTGATTTAATTCTGTAATTAAAACACAGTTATTCTTAAGTGTTGAAATTTAACTGAAATGTGATCCCTGTTAAACATAAGAGTGGGAATAAGAGAGGGAAGAGATGTACAATTTGGGACATGCTCAAGCTGACTTGCCCCAAATGGTAGAGTTAGAAACATACCAGGGGACTCCAATTTAATCCCATCAAGGTGGCATGTACCAATGCATCTCACTAGTCCAAGTGATCAATTTCAGTTCACAATTGATCATAATGAAAGGACTAAGAGTCAAAGGGAGCACATAAGCAAGTCTAGTACCTGCTAATACTAACTGATAGAATAAATAAAGGGGAGAGTGATCCAACATGGGAAGCGAGATACTCAGCAGACTCATAGAATGGCGGATGTCCTAAACAGCACTCTGGCCTCAGAATCAGCCCTAAAGGCATTCCGATCTGGCTGAAAAGCCCATGAGAGTATTTCAGGCATGGAAAGCCAAGACACTCTGGCAAAAACAAACAAACAAACAAAAATCACCTAAATGAAAGATCTCTGTGAGTGAGAACCCAGTGGAAAGAACAGGTCTTCAAAGAAGGAGGTACCTTTCTCTGAATGGAGGAGAGAACCTCCACTTTGACTATGACCTTGTCTAAACAAGATAAGAGTCGGAGAACTCAAGGGGCTTCCATAGCCTTGGAAACTCATGACTGGTGCATAGGGAGATTACTGATGCCATAAAGAAGAGTGTCAATTTGTAAAGTCAACAACAGGAGTCACTGTGCACTTACTCCTCATGTAGGATCTCTGTCCTTAATGTGCTGTACATTGAGACTTAATGCTATAACGAGTACACGAGTACTCAAACAATATATTTCACTTTGTGTTTCTATGGGGGTGCAAACTGTTGAAATCTTTACTTAATGCATACTAAACTGATCCTCTGTAAAACAAACAAAAAAAAATTATCAACTCCCAACTTGACTCTCACTGGGATTAAACATGACAATAGGTCTGATCTGATTTCATCATCATTTAAAAAATCATCTATTATTTTTTACTTTATGTTTCTGTGTGGGAGCAAACTGTTGAAATCTTTACTTTAATGTATGCTAAACTGATCTTTCTGTATATAAAAGAGAATCGAAAATGAATCTTGATGTGAATGGAAGGGGAGAGGGAGTGGGAAAGGGGAGGGTTGCGGGTGGGAGGGACGTTATGGGGGAGAAGCCATTGTAATCCATAAGCCGTACTTTGGAAATTTATATTCATTAAATAAAAGTTAAAAAAAACTCAATGGAAAAAAAATAAATTGTAAGTGCTTTACAGGTTAAAAGGATAGAGAATAATATATGTAGTTGGGGGATCATTAAAAAGGTCAAAAGATTATTTGGTTCAGGTCTAAAATATAACTAGAATTTTATTTGGTAGAAGGACTAGAATAAGACTCCGACTTAGAAGTGGAAAGTACAGAAAGAAGAGAATGGGAGATCTGAGTGGAGCTGCAGAAGAGAAATGCTGTATACAGTTTAGCACTATGCTACACAGAATAGTGTGAACCTTACACCTATAATCAAGAGAAGAGGATCATGGGCTGTTTTTACAGACTTCTATTGAATATACAATTGTGTAAAAAAATTGTGGCATCTGTGTGTGTGTGAACACATGTGTATATGTATACAGATGTTTTGTGTCTATGAAAAGAATTCCTAAGCTAAGAGTCTGAATTTTAAGGTGACACTGTTTGGGGGACCATGAAAGACTTGTGCAATGAATACGCTTAAGCACTGGAAACAAACATGGTTCTCTGTGAGTGACACTTTATTTGAAGAAGTTCACAGTAATCTTTCTAATGGCACTCAGAATAAAATAATTTAGAGGAAATTAACTTATTAAGCTACACAAGGATCAAGTCTTTAACATGGTCTACCACTTGCGTGTTTCATTTTTGTAATAAGACCCTTGCAATCAACCTCTTAAAAGCCCCCTTTACCTCCTTGTTCCTAAGAGTGTAGATGAGGGGGTTCAGCATGGGTGTGATGATTCCATAGAAAAGAGAAACCATCTTGCCCCGGTCCTTGGAGGCCGGGGATGGTGGCTGCAGATACATGTAGATGGCTGTCCCGTAAAACAGTGTCACCACAATGAGGTGGGAGCCACAGGTCCCAAATGCCTTTCGCTGACCTTCAGCCGACTTCATTCTCAACACCGCTTGGACGATAAAAGCGTACGATATAAGGATGAGCGTCACAGGTATCAAAAGGAAGAGCACACTGATGAAGAACAGCTCCGCCTCGTTTGCTGTCGTGTCAACACAGGACAGCTTGAGCAGCGCGGGGACTTCACAAAAGAAGTGGTCCACTTCCTTGTGGCCGCACAGGGGCATCTGAAGGGTCCAGGTGGACTGCAACACGGAGTTGCTGAAGCCACTAACCCAGGATGCAGCTGCCAGCTGCAGGCAGAGCCTCTGGTGCATGATGACTGAGTAATGGAGAGGCCGGCAAATGGCCACAAACCTGTCGAAGGACATCACGCCCAGCAGCAGGCATTCCGTGGAGCCCAAGGCCAGGAAAATGAAGAGCTGGGCCACGCAGCCGCCGTAACTAATGACCTTCCTGGTGCTGCATATGTTTACCAGCATCTGCGGGACTGTGCTTGTGGTGTAGCAGAGGTCCAGGAGTGACAGGTTGGTGAGGAAGAAGTACATGGGGGTGTGGAGTTTGGAGTCCAGGCGGGAGACCAGAATGATGGCCACGTTGCCAAAGATGGTCAAGATGTAGGAGACCAGGAAGACCACAAAGAGCGGGAACTCCAGCCACGGCCGATCTGAGAAACCCAACAGAACGAACTCCTGGGGGGCGCTATCGTTTCCCCAATTCATGATCAATGGCTCAGCTTGGTTTCCTTAAACACCAGACGTCAGTAAGTTAATAAACACATACCTATTGACTATGTCAGTTAACTGTCATCAGTTTTTTCTAGTGATTTTCTTGAATTTAAGATTGATCCTGCTAATACTGTGAGAATGTGTAGTGGAATGTAGCCTCCCCTGCACATGGCCTTGGCTTGGTGCCTCGTTCAGTCTGGTCCCTCTCCTTAGTACTCAGTAAAGATGGTGTCTCTAAGAAGCTCTCTCTGCCGAGGATCCCAGAAGAAGGAGAACATCCCATCAGCTTCCTTTAATCAGTGGATGCCCTCACTCTGAGCTTCGGTGCTCACACTTACAAAAGTGAGAAACTGCTTCATCACCTGCGAATGTGCCGTGAGAGTATGTTGGTGCATCCTGCTATAATAACATGCTCTCATGCTCTGTTGTCTGGGCTCAAGGAAGGGGAAGATAGTTCTCAACTGGGCAGGAAGACCGGAGCAGAGTGGCAGTGGAGGGGCAGGAAAGCGATGAGGCAGGAAATGGGAGATTTCAGAGGCCTGAATTCTCCAGCTCTGCCTGCTTCACCCCTCCTGTGTGTGCATTTGTCCATCTTCCAAACACACAGAAACCTTAACTATTAATCCACTCATGAACGTATATCTTTAGATGCGATAGTTGTGCTGTCATTTTGTATTTTAGGAGTCAAGTGTTTGGTGATAACCAAAAAACAAAACAAAAAACAAAAGCTAGTTTGTCCTTATCTGCACGTCTGAGTTACATCAGATGGGCTGCTGATGACTTACTGCTGACGTCTGTTCCAATTGCTTGTGACTGTGGCTACCACCTTCAAGGCCACAGAGCAGGAGTCTCTGCTTTCAAGGAAACTACATTGCCAGAATCCCCAGATAATCGGACTCCCATTTTGAAAAGCAGGCATTCAACCGGGCAGCAAAACAAAACATTTGCACTGTGTAGGATACCAAGCAGAGCAGAAAGAACATCCCTACGGAGTTAAAACAGGAGTTAATGGAAGAGAACTTTTAAAAAGCTGCTAATGGCAACTTTACAATTGTTCTCCGTGATCACCTCGGAATATCTGGCCCGCGTTGTAGAATATTTGCCCGCATGAATGCTCACCGTTACCTCCTGTCTCACCAGGGCTTGGTTTCCTTGATATCAGTTATCTTTCTCCAGAATTCCCTTGTTCCATGTCTGAACTTCAACTTTCAAAAAGAACAGTCTTGGGAGCCTCTTTAAAGCTGCACTGTGGAAAGAAAACGGAGACAAGAAAAGCCAGAGTTAGTCCCAAACTGGGCAACAGAGAAGTTAGTCAGGTCGTTTTCTGGGACATCATGTTCCTGTCAGCATGAAAACTGTTTCCTTTTACAGCTCATGTCCCTGTGAAATGAAGCTCCGACTCTGTCATTTTGTGCAGTGTCAGGATGGAAATAGTAGTTTTTACACAGCTAGTAGACTGACTTAACAGTATAAGGAGGTCAGTCAAAAACAATTTCCCCTTCATAAAAAGTTAACTTTGTAGGCAGAAACTAAATTTATTAATTTAACTACTTTTCCAAGAACCTAGAGCTACTAAGTAGCAAACTGGAGATTAGAACCAAAGACTGACTTGCTCTAACGTTCCAGTTTTCCATAGAGATTGCACATGGGTTAAAAAACAATATTCAATTTTAATGTAACTGTATTTAATAATTTTTAGAAACATATCCTACTTACCTTCACCTGAAGCACTGAGATAGGTCAGTTTATCTTTACGTCCAAGAAGGCTTGATTTCAAATAGGATTGACTGAAGCGACACAGAGACGATGCCTTCTCCCGTGACCTTCCGTTGGTTCGATGGAATCTGATCAACTTCGCTAGCCTCACCCAGTGTATAGCAAGTAGCGAGGTCTCTGCTCAGAGTCAGCAGGACGGAAGGACAAAGCTCTGGACTGCAGGTGGCCAGACGTGGGGGCTGAGGTCACACTGCTCAGAACTCCGGGCGTCCACTGCTCTGGGTATTTTTAAAGACTTTCCCAGTCATTTGTCCAAAACCATTTCCGACACAAATGCTTTCTCTGTCAGTATCCTGTGTGTCTGGATCTCTGGCAGAGATCTCAGTTACTAGATTGCGAAGCTCTTCCCCGAGGTTTATAGAAGTCACCCGCGCGCTCCGTGGGGTCAGGGAGGAACTCTGCACAAGTTCCTCTTTCATCACTGATTTGCTCACAAAAGCCATTCCCGAGGGAACGAATTCTCCGCTGGATTCAGCTCGGCCCAGCGTGGCCATTTGGGCAGTGAAGCAGTGGAGGGAAGGCCTCTCTCTCTCTCTCTCTCTCTCTCTCTCTCTGTGTGTGTGTGTAGCTCTGTCTCTCAAATAAATAAATATATCCTTTAAAAATTAATTATTTAAAGCAGTCAGATATGGTTTTCTGTATATGTCTCTATGGGTTACATGAGAAAATAAGAATAATTTTTAAAAGTATGATTTTTAGATAATTAATGAACGCAACTAAGGAGAAGCAGAGGGCACTATTGGAGGAAAGAAGAGAAGGAGAAAAGGGAGTGGAGGATGGAGCTTACTGTAAACCTGGAGAAGACACATTAAAATTCTATGCACATTAAAAAAGATTTTTTAAATACCAGTGGTTACCTCTGGACGGAAGAGTAAGAATACAGATGGGGTGCACAGGGGAAAACTTGTATAAGTGTGTGAATTTTTTTTCACAATTTTTAACAGGTTTTAATTTTTTAATGTTTATTTTATTTATTTCCATCTATCTGAAATGGAGAGTGACACACAGAGAGACAGAGAGAGCATCCATCAGCTGGTTCACTTCCAAATGCCTAATATAGCCAGGGCTGGGCCAGTCTTGAGTTCAGGAGCCCAGAACCCTATTCAGGTTTCCTCCGTGGGTGGTAGGGGTCCAAACCTTGGAGCCATCAGCTGCTGCCTCCCAGGGTGCATTAGCCAGAAGCTGGGTCAGAAACAGAGTAGCCAGGACTTAAACCAGTGCTCTGATATGGGGCTCCCAAGTAGAAGCTCAACCTGCTGTGCCACATCAACCACCCTCAGTTATAATTCAAACAAACAGAATCATAGTTTTAAAAGAAAGCAAACGAAAGAGTAAACAAGAAATGCATAAAAATGAGCATTCTTTCTGCAGAATGGACCGAGTGTGCACAAGTGGAGACCATTTCCAAAGTCCTTTGCTGACCCAGGCCTGGAAGCCAGGAAGGACCTACAGAGTTTTCCATGGCAGACAGGGCCGAGTTCTCTGAAAGTGTGGTCTCACTGAGCCAAGGCCCTGGGAGTCCACTCACAGATGTGGAGACAGGCTAGGCGGTGTTGAACGGGAGTGTTAGGGCACCGGTGACGTAACACAAAGTCCCACCTTCGTTCATTTTGTTCGTTTTTGCGAGGCCACCCATACAATTGCACGCCTCCCTCCAGCCCGCTGGGACCCGTCTGTCAGAAATCTGCATGCTGCACAGTGCTCTTGGAAAGAATTTCCGCAACAACCTCATTTTGTATGTTTTTCTCTGTCCACCTGTTTTTTTTTTTTTTTTATTAATTTACTTGAGAGAGAGAGAGTTGACGACAGTGAGAGAGAGAGAGAGAGAGAGAGAGGTCTTCCATCTGTTGGATCACTCCCCAGGTGGCCGAAATGGCTGGAGCTGTGCTGATCCAAAGCCAGGAGCCTGGAGCTTCTTCCAGGTCTCCCACGTGGGTGCAGGGGCACAAGGACTTGGGCCATCTTCTACTGCTTTCCCAGGCCACAGCAGAGAGCTGGATCAGAAGAGGAACAACCAGGACTAGAATCGACACCCATTTGGGATGCTGGCACCACAGGTGGAGGATTAACCTACTGCTCCACGGCTCCCTGTTGTGTTGTGTGTGTGTGTGTGTGTGTGTTTAATGGAAAATGCATTGACTATTAGAAACAAAGCCTGCAGAAGCAAAATAAGCCAGGCAGTGGAGTCTTGGTAAGATAGTGTTGTAACAGCAGGGAAGGCAGGAGAGATAGCTTACTGAGGAGGAAAGGGGTGGGATGCAGACATGCAAATTTTACTACAGCTGCAAAGTCCCGCCTTAGCACCACAGCCCTGGTAAGAAATCAGAGGGAATGCTGAGGCTCGCTCCTAGCGGGGAGATACACCACAGCAATTTCCTCACCTGACTGCGTGTTGCCCAAAGAAATACAAAGAATGAAGTCCTTTGCTAGGGTAATGGTACGTGTGTTGTGTCAAGTATGGTAGTGTGTGCATGCACACATATGTACACTTTATGTGTACATTTTTGAAGTGTTTGTAAGCTGTGGACATGGTGCCCGTTGCCTATGACTTTTTGCAGTGAATATCCTACATACAAGAAACTCTTAGTACCATCACAATATAACACAGCGTACCACCACAATCAGGAAATTAACACTGATGCAATATCCAGTCTACACTCCATGTTCAAATTCTGTCAAGCTCCCTCCTTTATAATAGGTGCCTGTCTTTGTGGGCAAGGGTTCAAGTCCCAATTACTTGGTGTCGTGAGTCTCTAATTGCAATACTTGGACTTCTTCAGATTGTCCTTATTATCCATGAGATGATATTTTTCAAGAACACATCTTCTGTTACTTAGAATGTTTCTGAATTTGGGACATGGAACTTTTCCTCATGATTCATTTTTGGTAGGAGTAACACAGAAGTGCTTCTCATTCATCATATCAAATGAGCTCAAAATGTCTCATTATTGGAGATTTTGACTTTCATTTCCTGGTTTATGAAGTGTCTGCTCAATTTGCCTATGGTAAAATTAATCAATAAATATGTTGCGTTTATTCACTAAAAATACCTTAGAGATAACTATGTAGACATTATATTTCTTGTGGAAATTTTATCCCTGGTTTTTAGCATTCATTGATTTTTGTCTGAATCATTTACCACAATAATGGCTGCTGAAATGAAAATCCGCTAATGCCCCCACCCCGCTGCCTTTATTACTTGACTTTTTGCCAAACACTGACAGACTGACTTGTTCACGAATTGTAAGCAGTATGGATGGACTCAGCCTCCCTTTTCGTTCCCTGGATTGTAATCTATTGCCAGCTTTATTTAATGCTCAGATTTGCCCAAGTTGGGCCAGTGGAAGCGCCTTCAGGCTGGCTCTTGTATCTTTTTATCATTTCCCCTTAGTTCTACAAATATTTCCACGCTTTCAGCAAGGCAAGATGTGCCTGAAGTCAGCTATTTCTCGAAGAGCCCTGGTCCCAGTTAGAAGCCATGATGAAGGAATGGCAGGTGCTTTCCTGGTTTATCCCCCCTCCCCCCCACACACACACGCATACACCACAGGCAAACACACTGCATCCTGTGCTCATGAGTCCCAGTGGTAACGTCTGCTCCAATCCAACAGGCAGGGTGCATTCAGGGCTTCTCCCTTTCTTGTCTATACCTTCCTGGCCCTTCCGTTTGTTTGTTCATGCACTTAGCTCTGTGTGTACTCAACGCCCAGCCCGAGGTCATCTCCCCGGGTCCCAGGATCTTCACACACAGTGAGTACTGGGTGTGAGCACCACACAGAACCTCCCTACGCTGGAACTTCTTAGGAATGAAACCAGGCGGGTGTAAGCTGTGTTTAAGCTTGTCTGTCCGATTCTTCCACTGAGCACCACCTTTAGTTGCATGTATTGGTAGTTCTGTCCTTTCTGCTGCCAAGCAGGATCCTGCCTTACTAACACACCAGCATTTGTTTGCCCATTCTCTTGCTGACACACATTTTGATGGTTTCCTCTTTGGGTTTGTTAGTAATGGGGTTGCTGGGAACTTTCTTGTATGAGCCCCAGTGTGGACACAAGTTCCACTTTCTCCTGCGTAAATACCAAGAGATATTGCTGTGTAAGAACCTTCAGTATCATGAGCGCGCCTGTTGAGGACTTCCACTGAAAGCTCTGCTCTTGTCTACAGCTGACCTGACACAACGGTTTTGGCAACCATGAAGCAGAAAGTTTGCTCCTCAATTTTTCAATCAGAAATGTGTCAGCTGAAGCAATTGAGATATTTATGATATTGGCTATTATTTCTGCTGTTAACTGTTGATTAATCTTGTTCAATTAAGACATGAACAAGATTACTCTTTTCCTCACAAATGTTCGGGTGGTTTGGTACTGTGTTTCATTTTCAACATTGTCTCTTCTCTTTCAAGTGAGTTATCCATTTGTTAACTGATAATTTCTTTGCGATGTTGTCATCAAAAACTCTTTTGTAAGGCACCAGTGATTTCAGTCTTCTAATGAAGTGCCGCTGTAAATTGGATCATTTTTGAGCAGAATTCATGTTACTCTAATAAGGGCTGTTTTCAACCGATGTCTTATCCTTCTTAGTATTTAAGCTAGATGCTGTTCAGACATGCTGTAACAAGTTAGTGCAAGTTCATTCTATTGCAGAACGCTTCTAAGATCCACGCACAGCTTTTTCATTATACGCATTTTCCAGGAACTCCTTGAAGATCCCTCCTAAAGGTGGATTTATGTAATACTGTTTGTATTTTCTTGGGAGTACCTCCCTGGTTGATTGTAAATGTCTATTTCAATATTGAATGTGTGAAACATTATTGTTGTTATAAAAGCAAGAACTACACAAAACATTATCCTTAGAAAAGGGTCACTCCCCCCTCCCCAGCCTTTTTATTTAACTCCCACTCTCTCATGCTTTACTTTTTTAAAAGATTTATTTTATTTATTTGAAATACAGAGTTACAGAGAGAGGTAGAGACAGAGAGAGAGAGAGAGGTCTTCCATCCACTGGTTCACTTCCCAGATGACTGCAATGGCCAGAGCTGAGCTGATCTGAAGCCAGGAGCCAGGAGCTTCTTCCCTGTCTCCAACATGGACCATCTTCCACTGTTTTCCCAGGCCATAGCAGAGAGCTGGATCAGAAGGGGAGCAGCTGGGACTTAAACCAGTGCCCATAAGGGATGCTGGCACTGCAGGCTGCGGTTTTAACCTGCTGTGCCACAGCACCAGCTCCATGCTTTACATTTTAATCCATATACACCCACTGTGGGAACTAATCTCACTAGGTCCCACTAACCTCTTTATTTTCTGGTTTATCAATCTCCTACTTCTTTTTGCCTAATAGAGATGATATATGAATATTTTATGACATCTTTCTTACATGAAAGGTAGTATATAGGAAATACTTATTACATTTTGCATTTTTTATTTAACAATATAATTAGAAATCATTCTTTATTATTTTACATAGGTCTTACATATTCCATTGTCTTTTTTTACAACTTTTACTAATTTTCAG